GTGATATTTATTGCGCTAAAGCATTTGGACCTGTCATTGGTGGTGATTTAGTGTTATTCAATTAATCTAATGGAAACTATTGTAAAAGAATTTCACTTTTGAGCTCTGATAACAAAATAATAACTTTTGAAATTGAGGATTATGAAATATTTCAAATTTTGCAGAAATAATTTTTCTTAATAAATTTTCTTTATTGCCTTTAATCTATAAAAATACAGTAGACATAAACTCAGAATATGTAGAAAATAAATATTCGTTTAAAATACTCAAATCAGGTTTACATATTATAAGTTTTTGTGAAAAAGCTTGCATTAATAATCAGCAATTAATTTGAAACAACAATACATGTACATGTAAATACAATAATACTTGAGTATAATTTTTATAATCGTTCATTTCAGGAATAATCTGAAATTACTTCGTTCCAACAAAAATGTTCCTTGCGAAATTTTATTTGTTAATAACTCTGACTCCTAATTTGATTGGTTTACCCTTTAAAAAATCACATCAAGTAGCCCGAACTTTTGGGATCACTCTTGTGTGATCACAATGAGCACGTCAACAATTCTCATCTCTTAAATTCATCAAGATATTATATTGGCGATTAGTGAATTTCGGCGTAACAAAGTGGCTGATATCCAATGATTGCCCCGGAATATCGGTGAATTCGTAACGACGAACAAGTGAAGCAATTATTAGGCGCATTTCAAGTAATGCAAAACTAATTTAGAATATAGAGAGTTTAATTAGTATATTGCTTATCACTTTTGATTAAATGTACTGAAATAATGCCTCACTTTTGTCCAATACAATTTCTCGACCCTATACGAATTTAACATCATTAGATTAATTTAACATCATTAGCTTATACATGTAAAAACAATAAAACAAATAACTACTAATACTAACCAGCTGAAAATGGATAGAAAGCATCCTTTGGAATTCTTTCCGAGTCGAGCCATCGTTCAGGCACAAATTCTAGCGCGTCTAGGCCCCAAAGGCTTTTATCGGTGTGTAGGTAATAAGCATTAGGGATCACTTCTGTCTATCAACACCCAAATAGTATCAGCGTTAAATAAAAATGTATATTTGCATAATGATAATCTATAACCAAAAAATTTTACTCACTCCTGCGGGTACATGATATTGTCCAATGATCATATCTTTGTTTAATACTCTGACGGTTACTATAAAAATGAAGAAAAGTAACGTAAATATATTAAAAAAAATATATAAAAATAAATACATATTAATCATCTACTCACATCCATCTACAATGAAGATATGGCATTAAAAAAGAAAAGAATTTAAGATGTGCATACTATTAAATAGGAAATTAAGTCATGAAAATTTACCCAAATCAGCACATAGTCTCACAGCATTTAAATAAGGCAACCCTTTTAGCAACGCATAATTTGGCAAATTATCTGGGCCTATTTCGGGAATTGCAGCACGAATTTCTTGAAATAATTTATCGAGGACCTCTTGGTGTCGTAATAAAAGGATCATTGCAAACGAGATACAGAAACCTGTAGTATCGCTTCCAGCAATCCTATTATTTTAAAGATAAGATGATTAGATATTAAATATATACAAGCAACAAATTAAAAATCATTTTACATACAAAAACTCTACAATCTGTCCCACAATTTCATTATCATTTAAACCAGTATTATTATCATCTACGGCATCAAGCAGTATTTGAAGGATATCTTTTTTTACTTCGCTTGGATTTTGTTGACGTCTTGTCTTCGCGAGTTTAATTACAAACTATTTTATAATAAAAACACTTAATATTAAGAGTTTCTAAATTACATTTTATAATTATAATATATGATAAAATACCTCTTCCAGATACTTTCTCTCTCGCATAAACCATTGTAGAGGTGGTACAAAGGCACCCTTTGAAATAAATGTTGTCACGTATTCATAACTAAGTGCGTACATGTATGAATGCAATAGTCGATATTTAAACTCACCATCACCATACGCCTTAGATAATACCGAACTTCATCAGGAATCGGGTGTTTATTGGTCAACACCATGTCAAATTTTCCACCAAATGCAGTTTCACCAATAACATCCTAGAAACAGATTAAATTATAAATGATCACAACAGAATGGATAATGCAGAATTCAGTAAAAAAAAAAACTTTAATTACCAAAGTATAATTTTGAATTATTTGAAACATATTTATTGTCGCTGCTTTTCGGCCATTTACTACCATTGATGAAGCATTGATTAAATGGTCAATAGTAATAATCACATCACGGAAACAGTTCTTGGTTAGAGGTTCAAGCGATGCAAGATATTTTATAGAGAATGCTGGCGATAACATTCTTCGCTGAGATTAAAAAATATTAGCTTTTGAATTACATGTATACAGTTGATAAATTCATAGACAATACATGTACTTACACGAAGTTTATGAAATTCTTTATCACTAAAAAATCATCAAAAATAAAAAATTATCTTTAACTTTAATGAACATGAATTATAATAGATAATTATTAAATTACATACGTTCCAGAAAAGAGTGTTTCTTCATTTCTTTTGCGTCGATAATTCTTGTAAATTGAAGATTTTGGAAAATCCTAAATAAATTCAGGAAGCTATTAATACAGAAAATAAAATAAAACCCATTCTTATCCATTGCTTACCTCCGTAATTATAATCTTTAGCAGGTAAAAAAAAATAATAGAATAATTTACCAAAAAACCAATGATAAACTATCAAGCAAATTGTTGAAATACCTTTTTTATAGCATCACGATCACCAACTGAAAGAACGTTGGGGGCTTTACCAGACAAATTATAAATATAATATGTTATTTATAATCATTTAACGTTAATAAAAACCAATTAATCTCACCAACTCGGATAATTGGTCCAAATCTGGCGTGAACTAAAATATTCTTTAGCCATCTATTATGAAAAGAAAATTAATAGCTTCAAAATAAATAAGACTCATTTTAGATAATGCCTTACCCTTTCCCCGATAGAATCGTTGACAACGATAGCCAAGGAGCAAATGCATCTCTTTTTCGACTTGGGATTTTACTTAATGGTCCAAAAAAAGCTATATAAAATGACTGTGGAATTCACAATTTCAGATTAATTTACTTTTTTGGAATCAATTGTAAATATTATTAATTTTATGATAAATACATTAACTATATACCGTCCAAGTAAAAAGATGATATAAATCTTGGCTAAAACGAGAATATCTGATAAATTTAACAAATGCATTATCTTTGAATTATTATCTTTATTTTTGATCTTTGATTTTTTGTTTGTAATGTTAATTAATCCCACCTAAATTTATAACATTTGTTGAAGCCAAACAGAGAAAGTTTCACGATCAGAATGGGCTATTAATTCATAGCTTTCGTTCGTCATTTTCCGATATCTTAATCAGATGGAAGTTATTACATTGATGCTATAAAAGTCCTGTCAGACTTTTTTCAATCAGTATGTTGTGTTACAATCACAATTGTTCCAAATCACGATCGGCCTAAATTAGAATAAGTGTATGATGTATGACCATATTGTCATTTGTGATTTTTAGGCGTAATGTATCCTATTTTATGTTAAAAATTTTCTATTTTTGACTATTTATTTATCAAACTATACCCCTTATTTTGATTATTCTTCTATTTTTGGGAAAATGAAAAAATTTTGCGGGGTACTAGCTTGGAGCGCATATAATATTTGCGATTAGGTCAAAACTTGAAATCCATCTTTATCATTAACCTTTATTGCATTAAAATTTTTCCGTGTGTTTACGTATGATAAAACACTACCACTAACTGAACATGCTCTGCATTCATTTACAATGAAATAATTTAATACGTAAAGGTAAATGTATATGTAGTTAAATGGCTAGAACTTTATATTATTAGACACCACGTCCTTAAACATGTATAACGATAAGTAAAAGACAACTTTTCATTAAGAAACGAATCCATTGAGATAATAGAAAATAACGACTCATTATAAAAGACACATAAACATGATATTGATGATAATGGACGGCTACTTTCTGCACAGATAAATAAACGTGATATAATATTGATAAATTACATGTTCTCGTATCCAGTTAAGAGAGGACAAGAACAGCTGTAATAAAGGAAAAAAAAGCCTATCAGATTCCTAATAAAGCTTTTACCATATTTTCGCGAAATAACGCAGGTGGGCATTATTTCGAGTACGCGCGTGTGTGTTATTTCGAGATAAAGTGTCGATTTTCTGTTAAACCTGATTTTCGAATAACGCCCATGTGTGTTGCACATCTATGAATATCAATGATAAAAGATATATAAATGTACTGACTTTTTGAAAGTATTAGTATTTTTTTATTTTTTTTACTCGTATTATGTATTTTGTTTTGCCTTACATTCAAGTCTGTAATCTTTATTTTTTGTTTATTACGCGTGCAAGTTTTTTGCTTTATTTACAAGTGAACACGAGCACAAAACGAAGCTTTACTATCGCTTTTAAACTTGAGTACATTTCATATGAAAAAGCAAACTTAGAAAATCGATTGGAAACGGGTTCAAGAATGGCGAGAATAAAAAAGTGTTCGAGATTAAGCTGAGGTCGAATTATATTATAAATCTATCAAGTTATGGGCGTACACGTTATTTCGGGACGCCCATAGGCGTTATTTCGCGAAAATATGGTATATGCAATATCACTTAAAGCAAAATACATTAATTCAAATTTTAAATAATATTTTGAAAGTATTAAAAATCTTGTATAGATAATTTAGATTATTATTAACAATATATTAAAAAAAGAATATTATAAGTATTTTAAGAATTGATAAAAATAACTAAAATAATATATAAAAGTAAAAAGAAAACTACTTTGAGAATTTATAATAATTGATGGTTTGAATACATAATATATAAAGTAATATAATAAAACTTCTCAGTCAATATATATGCTTATAAAATAATATCAAAGTAATATATATATTATATAACAATAAATTATATTTTTTAAACATAATTTATTAATATGAATATATAGTATATCTTAAAAATATATTAAAATTATATAATATTTTTCTATTTAATATTAAAAATTTTATATATATTAAAATTTTAATAATATTAGAATATTAAAAAATCAAAGATTTTTATCTTTGAATTTTAATAAGTTTAAATAATAAAATTTTAATTATTATTAAATCATGAGATTTATTATCTAATTACAGTGGTGACCAAAAGTAATGACTCAGGAGCTAAATTTACTAATAAAACATAGTAAAAATTGAAATTTTCTCTCTAAATTAAAATTTAAAATTTTATTTTTATATTAAAATAAAATTTATCAGTTGTAGTTTAACATATATTTTTCAGATTTTTTAGATTTTTCTGAAAGAGTTGCTCTAATTGTAAAGTTAGTGCAAAAATTTTTATTAATTAAATTTCATTTTTAATTAGTAAAATTTTTGCACTAACTTTACAATTAGAGCAACTCTTTCAGAAAAAATCTAAAAAATCTGAAAAATATATATGTTAAACTACAACTAATAAATTTTATCTTAATATAAAAATAAAAATTATTTCTTATTAAAATTATAAATTTTAATATAGAGAGAAAATTTCAATTTTAATTATGTTTTATTAATAAATTTAGCCCCTGAATCATTACTTTTGGTCATCACTATATATATAAAAAATTTTATATTTTTAAATAATTTTTTATTGAATTATAATGAATTTTAAATGTTGAGTTATTTGTTACTGACTGTATATTAATTTTATTGCAATAATATTACTAGTTTTGATATAATAGTTTTGTTATAATTATAATATTTTTTAATTATCTATAAATATTTATTAATAAATTTTATTTAGTTATTGACTGATATTAAATAATTAATAAAGATATAATAAAATTATTAATTAATTTGAATTGTTAACAAATTTGTCTGGTATAAAAATAAGAAATAATCACATCTCTTTAGTGACAAAGTCTATAGAAGAAATTGAAATGGATAAAAAAGGCATAGGTTACACCAGAAAAATTGCAATTGAAATAAAAAAACATTAAGTAATTTTTCCGGCATTTATAAAGATATAACAGTAGAAACAGCATTTATTTCCCTATTTGTTCTTACCGAATATTCTTTGCGACTCGCTTTAGCAATTTTTTCATGTAAAAATTGGTTGCTTTTTTATGCGCGAAACGTATTTTCTCCATTTTTATTGTAGGCGCAGTGTGTCTCAAATATGATAAAAAATTGTGCTTGACCAAATACCGTTTATTATAAAATTAATTTACATATCGATATTTATATGAACGAATTCTTTAGTTGTTTTAATTATAAATAAACTCAAATTATTTCCAAAGAAAATTCAATTTAACTTTTCGAAAAAATTGAACTCTATGAAATAACTTGGCGTAATTTAAAGCAATCTTTTTTTCAAATCTTCAATCAAAAAATGCAACCTATGATTCTCTTCGATTTCCAGGTTCATGCTTATTAATCTTTCATTAGCTTGCCTAATCGATTCTTTTAATGTCGTATTCTCTTCTGCCAACCTATAAGCACGAGATTCGAGATTTGCAACATAAATTTTCTTGCGTTCTCTAGACTGTTTCGCGGCCAATCGATTTAACTCCAAACGACGTCGATGTCGTTCTTCATCCGTCATAAATGACGTGCTTGCCGTTGCCTTTGATATGTTTGCATTTGATATTTTGAAATCAGAAGTTTGGGTAGGAAAATCTGGTGAAAATTTATTATCAATCTCATTATGATATACCGAATAATAAGTACTCGTCAGTGACATATTTTCTCGTATAGTATCGCAGAAGGCGATTGGTGGTAAGGTATGATCTGTGTTAGACCCTAAAGAAGCTAAGTGAAGAGGCGGTAAAGCGCACGGAACTGAAGAAGATGATGACAATGTTGGTATATGATGCGCAAAATTTGCACCTTGTGTTAGTTTTGGTGGTGGTAAGAGAAAAACGGTATTAGTTTTTTGACTAGTGTCAACTGTTTCCTGAGAAAACTGCATGTTTGGGCATTTATTAATAACGTGTGGTCTTTTTTCTTCCATCTGGCTAAAACTTGTGTGTTTGTTTATATATAATAAATAATCTTACTATAGATAAGTTCTTGATCATTATAGACCAAAATTTATAGAAATCTCAAATCTCTATTTAGATCAATTCGTTTTTTTCTTTTCGATTACTCTTATTTTTCCCATAAATTCCTGCATCTTCCCACTAATCAAAATTCACATCAAATTATCAAATGATGATAAATGTAATTATTCGACCGTTTCATCTTTTTATAACGAAAAATTTTGTATAAACTATAATATTGATGATATCCTTTATATTTCTTTCCAAGCAACAATTTACTTGAATCTTACAATTTGAGACTCCTACTTAAATACTACATTCGAAAAGTTTTATTTTGTTTAAGAATTAATTAAATTACGACATTATTTTATACATGTGATAACTTAAATAAATCATGCTATTTATAGTAGATCAGAATATTTTTAGGGAACGGTTAAGGTGGTCATTTTCCCAATTTAAATAAATCCGCGAGAGTTAATTTTTATACATGTAGTGTGTTACAAAAAAACAACAGTTGCACTAAATCACATAAATCTTATATCATTGGTAAACTCTAAATTACATGTAGACGTTTTATTAAATAAAAATCAATGCAATATTAATATATACAGTAATTATAATATTAATTTTAAGTTAAATAATTTATTCGTAATCAGCAGAGAAGTGATCTTTCTTTATAATTGACTTGTACGTTTACCATTATCTTGAATTACAAGTTAAGATCGCTGTCTCATCGAATCTACTAAATTTTTTAGAAATGAGTTAGGAATTTTGTCCCACTCTTCGACCATATACCATGACATACGTTTTTCTCCGTTCCTTTGACGATGGCCCATAGATTTTCGATCGGATTAAGCCAAAACTGTCCAAAACTTTGGGAAGAGTTTTATGCCGATTTTGCTTCTTGGATGTCGCCATTGCCAAGCCTTACTTCAACAAAAAATTCGAACCATGCTGGTCACACGGCTCGTGTTCGATACATTTTAGTGATTGAAAATCCGAGCGAGTCACATGAAAATATTTTTTTCAACAGTTTTTAATTTGATAATTGTTTATTGAATGACTTTAGTAAACAAATTTTCATTTTTCGATATACTTAGCGTATTAAATACATGGAGTAATAGATGCATTATTCTTTTACGAAATCAAATTTAGCCGACTTGCTTCGTATTTTATTTATATCATGATCTAACGTTTTGCAATTACATAGTAAAAACAATCGAATACATATAGTTTTCGAAGGCATCCGACTATTACTATGCTGAGAGTTTACTAATAAATTTATTATATCCAGAAGATTTAATATGGACTTTTGAGCTAACTTTTACTGATGCTGAAATCGACCAATGACATTATAGAATAGAAATGATCAGCCAATGAGACGCGCTTCAGCCCAAATTTCAGCATAAAAAAATATTTGAGAACTGATTTTAATATCGATATGCATCTTCGGTGGTGTACATGAAACAAAGTCAAACATGTACATATACATGACAATTCTAATCCCCCATTCCCAATTTAAACGTGTCCTTTCAGGCATGCATGTAAATGTACATGTATTATTATTATATTGTGTAAAATACTTTGCATTCGATCTAAGATAATGAAATTACCCCGTCTTTTCCAAAATTAAGCAGATTGAGGTTCAGCTATATTGTTGCTTATCGAGGCGTGTTCCCCTTCTTACAGAGCAAAACTGATTTTAATTTTAATAGACGCAAAACCATTTCGTTTATAATTGGAGGAAAGTTGTATTACATGTATACATGTACATGTATCATTATTTACAACACCACCATAGATACTGTATAACAATTACTATATTTAAAAAATAGAGTTTTCTAAAACACATTCCTGAATTTGATACTACATATTGTACCGTATATGGCCGAAAATAAGATCCTCATTTTCAAAGAACTGAAAATAAGAAATCTCTGTTGAATCGTTGCCCGATTCCTGATTACATGATGACAAACCAATAAAATGTATAATATTACAACATCAACATGTTTTATCTGTATTATTGTATTCCAGGTCTGAAACTGTTTTCAAAATAAAAACTCTTGAAATAAGATACTCGCGCAGATGATTTTCAAATGGGATCCATTATCATCTTCGTTCTATAATTAATTTGTGAAACGCAGCATGCGGTTGTATCCGATCCGTTAATTTCCGTTGAGCTATTTCAAGTTATTAGATTTTAGCTTCCAGGCTAGCGTTATTTACACGTGCTAAGCTTTTTTCCCAAAACTAAATCATAATGACAAAAAATTGATTACTTTACTCGAGTTTAAAAACATGGATTCTTTAAAACGCGCATAATCAATTGTCTCCTTTATCTGTTAAAATATGTAGAATGTTTAACGTAACACGATCAAAGAAAAAACTAAAGAGAACGACATGTTACACTAACTGGTCTTTTATAAAGCATGGCGTGCGTGCTGTATGAAAAAGTACGAAAAATATTCTGTTAAAAAACCAATAAACATGAAATCAAAAATGACATCTTTTTCGAGCTCAGTAATAATAATTCTCTTGATTGCTCTATTAATAGCAACAGATCTAGCAACGTCCCATTATATAATCCCAAGAAAAAAACCAAAACCTCGATATACGCCCCTGACCCATGAAATAACCTTCAATGTCGGAAGAAAGGTCTTAGATCCAGATGGATTCTTCCGTCGCGTATGGACAGTTAATGGTCAATTTCCTGGACAAGAAATTCACGCTTTTCAAAATGATCGATTGAAAGTTCATGTTATTAATAATCTTGGTGATGAGGCAACTGCTTTCCATTGGCATGGAATTTTTCAAACTGGCACTCCTTGGTATGACGGAGTCCCAGGTGGTACGCAGTGCCCAATTCCAGCTGGTGAAGAATTTACTTATGATTTTCAATTACTCCAGTCAGGAACGTATTGGTGGTGAGTTTGTCTTTTTATTCATTCGATAAGATTATTTTTCTTCTCCTTTTTAGAATGTATATATACATATATTAACTAATGGAATAAACCAATATATTTTGCATATTCTATTTAATAGGCATTCACATTATTTTGCACAATATGTTGATGGACTAGCTGGACCTCTTATAATTGATGATCCTCAAGATCCTTATTTTCAAGCATACGATGAAGAGTTCATCGTAACATTGCACGACTGGTACCATACTGAGAGCTCCGAATTGATAAAGAATCTCATGAAACCTCTTCAAGCAGGATATGCTGAAGTAAGTATGAAATTAATTTGGGTCAAATTAAACGTCAACTAATTTAATTTCATGTCAAGCCTGTACCAGACTCCGGTTTGATTAATGGAAGAAACAATTATAATTGCAAATTAGCACCAGTTGGAACTAAATGCATTCCAAACAATAGTCTTTCGACATTCGTATTTCAGCAAGGGAAAAGATATCGTATTAGGATTATCAATATGAGGTTATTATTGTTATTTTTTAATGTTTGCATACCCTGCATGCATCTTCAATACTAAACATCCGACCCTTTTTGTAATATTCAATAAAGTGCCGACGATAGCTTTGATTTCTCAATAGACGAACATCTATTAGAAGTTATGGAAGTTGACGGAGTTTTGACCAAATCCAAGCAAGTAACTACTCTCTCAATCGATGCTGGCCAACGATATTCGGTAATCGTAAAAGCCGACCAAATTATAAAAAATTTTTGGATGCGTGCTGAAATGGGCATCGACAGCACAGATAAAGGTGTAAATCCTCACATTCGAGCAATCGTGCATTACGAAGGAGCATCTTTCGACAAACCTACAACACAAGATTGGGTAAATAAAACAGATTTGGATCCTATGACACTTCAACCATATTTTAGCGACCCTGTGCCGTCTCCAGTAGGAACGCAGTTCATTTTGACGATTGATATAAGACTGGATGCTAACAATTACACGAAAGGTTTTGTAAATAATTCCACTTTCAAACTTGATCTTGATAATCCTTCACTTGACCGGGCTATCCGTAATTTGTCGATTGATGGGCCAAATGCAAATGTTTATACTTTTGATAAACCTGGAGAAGTTGTTCAAGTCATTTTGCAAAGTGAGTATATTTATTCATTATTCAAATTGATAATTTTTTAATCTTGATATTGATTTTGCATATACCTAAAATTAGATGTACATGACGAAGACCATCCTTTTCATATGGTAAATAAATTATGCAAAGATTTATTATTTATTCTTCTTAACTTTAGAGAATTGGTAACTTATTATTCTAATTATTAAGCATGGCCACCACTTCTGGATTCTTGGAACTGGTGAAGGACTTTTTGATAAAAATAATGCGACGCTGAATCTAATAGACCCAATAAAACGCGATACTCAAGATGTACCTGCTAAAGGATGGCTAGTGATTCGATTCGTCGCTGATAATCCAGGTGTTTGGACATTCCATTGTCGTACGTATATACAACTCCTCATTTATAAATTCATTTTTATTATGTTTCTAATGCTATATTCAAAAATTCCATTTAGATCTTGAATGGCATCTTGAAGAGGGTCTATCGTTGCAATTTCTGGAATTACCCACTATATTAAAAACTTTTAAGCAGCCAGAAACTGTAACAAGTCTTTGCAAGTCTAATTCTAATAGTACGAACGCACCCACCACAACTTATTAAATTATGCTTTAGAGAGAATGCACTATTTTGAATTTGTATTTAAATTTAATAAAACGATAATCCCGTTTTCTACATTAAAAATTAAGAGATTTATCTATAACACACAATGTATATAATTTTTTCCAATCTCTAACATTAACATGTTCGTTCTACAGTAACCGTAAAAGTATCCAACCATTAACTTTCCTTAAATAATGTGTAATGTACCAAATTTTCCAAACACAACATAATTGAATGCTCATTCTACGGCTCAAATACAACGAATCATCAGTGGAACTTGGTAAAATAGTATTTACCTAGTTTCGCAAATCACTTTTATTTGTCATAAACCCAGCATGTAGCTTATAATCCCAAACTTTTTGGCATATAATTCATAATCAAGTAGTTGATTAATGATACCTGACAAATGAAGAATGGTTTGTCATTGACGAATGACGAAACCCTTCGTCAAGTAATTTTTGTATTGACGAATTGACGAAACATATAATGATTGATAAATCCTATGTTTCTTTCCTTTCTTTGTATAAAAATTACATTACATAAGTTAAATATGTGTAATTTAGAGCAATTCGTCACTACCTGATGATATTTTTTGTATTGAATATCGAAATGATAACGAACACATGTACATATAACGAATAATTCCATTTGTCTAAAAGTTTAAAAGGCGAGTTTGTATAATTATTCATGAAAACAATATAAACTATAAATACACATATATTTAAATCGATCTGAAATATTTGTAAAATAACTACGTTATAGAAATTTTAATTATTGCTGAGAATTCAAATTATGTGACTATTAAAAATATAACTTAAAGAGATATGTGATTATAAAGAGGCCTCACTATATCAACATTTATAAAGAAGTACAACCTATGATCTCAAATTGTAAATTTATTATTGAAATATTGGAATTTATTTAAGAAAACAGACCAATTACTGAGGATCTTGATGATTTATCAAATCTATCTATAATGAAGATTGAAAACTGAGTACTTTACATTTTCAATATTGCAATACTTTAGAATATTTTAAACACATGAAAAATTTAAAGAGCTTTAGAGAATAGAAAGATAAAAATTGATAAGAAAATGGAACTATTTCTATAAGCAAAAACCAAGAAATTTATAAAAATGAAATTTATATCAGTTTAATTCTTTATTTCAAAATTAATATCAATTCTAATTAATGCAGATATATTATATCTGCTTTTTCAAGAGCAGTTATAATCTTATATAATTATTTTATTATTATAAATATTTATAGTATTGATATATAATTTTATTTAAATTTAGTAAAATAATAAACAAATAATTATATAGTATTTTAATAATAATAATAATAATATTATAATATTATAATATTTTAAAATAAAAATAATAATAATAATAATAATAATAATAATAATAATAAAACTAGTCACCTATATATAAATTACTATAATTTGTCAGAATTCAAGTTTATATCAATTTTTGATCAAACTATGGAAATTAACTCAAACTTGTAATACTTTCTCAAAAAATATTATCAAAATACATGTATAATCAAATGGCAATATGAAAATAAAGTAAACAAAATACTTCAATCTATATCTTAAAAAATAGATTGAACATTTACATTTCTTATTTAGAATCAAAATGAAGAAGTAAATAGCAATATTACAAATATATACTCATCTAAAACCAGAATCTTTTTTATCAAAGCATTTTACAATATATTATTATTATAATGACATAAAATTTCTTAATTTTATAATCTTTTCTTGGTTATATAAAATTTATTTTTCTATAATTTTATATTTATCATATAAATATCTCTATTTTTATATCATATATTTACTTTTATTACTATATTTATTATCATATTTCTTTTTATTCAAGATCTATATTTTTGAATTATATATAAAATTATTTTTATATATATAATAGAATAGTATATTAGAAGATCATTTTTAATTTTTGATAGAATAATAATATTTAGAATGATAATTACAAATATTAATATTTTGAAAATCATAAATATTGACAAATATTAATATTTTAAAGATTACAAATATTAATAAATATTAATATTTTAAAGAACACAAATATTAATATTTTGAAGATTATAAATATTCTCAAATATCTATATTTTTAATATTAATATTAGTATTTTAAATATTAATTCTTTAATAATATATATATTTAGATAGTATTAATTAGTAATACTATAATAATTTATATATTTGAAAAATATATAAAAGAACCTGTTATTTTAACTAAAATAAATAGTTTTGAATTAAATTATTTGAAAAATATAATTAAAAAGCTTATTATTATAATAATAATAATCTTTTTAAAAGATTTCTTTTCTAATTATACTAGTATCCTATCTTTCACTCAGTTTTATTTCTTTAACTATATAAAGTTAATTTTGATTTAGATTATAATATTATATTAATTTTTGATTTTTGTTATTATTTTGAGAGTAAAAAATCTTTATTATAAATAAATTATACTTTTTATTTTATTTATTTTATTATTTTTGAAAGTAAAAGATCTCTACTATAAATAAGCCATATCCTTTTTATTTAGTTATTTAGTTTTTGTACTTTAATTTTTATCTTTTAATCTTCTTTGATTAATAGTAGCTTTACTATTAAATTACTTAAATCTTAAATTATATTAATTATTAGTGATTTTACAGATATATCTTTATAATTTCTTTGATTTATTTATTTTTTTCTTTATTTATTTTATCCTTTATTAAGATAATATCTATAGATATTGACATAAATCTTAAAAATCTTTGTAAATATAGTCTAATTTCTCTTTCTTTACTCTTTAATTATTTCAGTCTCTCCTAACCTTATATTATTAAGATAAATTCAGGTGAAAATTCACTTACTGATTTGTTTTAATATATTTTTGGTACTCTCTCTGTAAAGAAAAATCCTCTCTATATATAGTATTATATTTCTATTTTTTTTATACTCTTTTTATATTTCTTTTCTTTTGTTATTCATAATTAATAAATATTTATGTCTTGAATTTTCATAATATTTATCAGATTATCTATTAATTATTATCTTGAAGTATATCAAACTCTTAATTATCCTATTAAAATACTCTCTCAATACTATTACTCTTATTATCATTTTCTTTAATCTGATTTTTCTTTATAATTTTAAATATTTTATTTACTTATAGAAAGTATTAAAGTAATATTAGTAAATTAAATCACATATCTATTATTTCACAAATTAATTCAACTTGATTTAAGTAAGATATATATCACTTGTCTTAAAGAAAAAATAGTATAATTAGTAAATACCTTTATCTTTAACTATATTAATACTCAAAAAAAATAACTTGATTTAATTAAATAATTCTACTAATAATTTATCCATCAAGATTTTATCTTATAATCAAGAATACCTTTTAATAATAGTAATATTGACAAATATTATTCTAAAATCAAGAATTTAGAAGACTTATTAATATCTTCTATTCAAATTATATTAATTCCAGAATTAAAAGAAAATAGTAAATATTTAGATTCAGAAAAAAATATTTAGACAGACTTAGAAAATAGTATCATTGCAAACTATACTCTGGAAGATAGATTTTATTATGAATATAGTTTGTAATAAGTTTTGAGGGTGAAGACTGAATTATTTATAAAGATTAAGAGGATAATGATTATTCTAAAGATTTTCTAATGCCAATACTTATAAATATTATATTAATACAAGATAAAAATGAAATAAAACAAAAATATAAAAATAAAGTTATGATCATGAAAACTAAACTAAGAGTAAGATATCTAAAACTAAATAATAAATACTATAACTAAAACAAAAGATTTAGTATACTGACTAAACTCTCTAACAGTATCTTTTTAATCATTAGACAAATAAAGAATATATACCAAAATAAAGCTTTTATATGTGAGAAAGCTTACAAGAATCTCCTTAATCAAATAAAATATACTTGACTTATTTTAAGTGGAAAGCATCCACTACCTAAGTTTTTCAGACAAGAAAAACTTGTAAATAATCAGAATATAATCTATTATGATAGAAGA